GCGGCGCACCTCCACGGGGCTCGGGACGTCCACGGCGGCGCGGGCTGTGCATCGAGAGGCGGGGCCGGGAGCATCTCCGCCGCCGCTGCTCCTCTCGCGCTGCGGACAACATAGAGATCAGGAAGGAGAGAGGAGGAGACGAGTGGGTGTGGCGGTGGCAGGGATCCAGGAAGGAGGAGGGAGGAGGAAGAGAGGAATGGGGTGTGGCGGCTGTGAGAGGGAGGAGGGAGGAGTGTGTGGCTGTGGACGGGGAGCTAGGGTTGGTGCGGTCGTGCCCAATGGGCTCCTCGCTCCAGCCCCAGGCAAGCCACGGGACGCGCGACGCGGGGCACGCGAGGAAAGGCTCACCCGGCCGAAAATGACCCAGCCGTTTCCATCCAAGTGGCCACAGCGCCGGCCCACACGTCATCCCTCGCCACGATAGACCGATCGGTAAAAACGAGCACGTTGAATTCCAGCGACGATCGAACGGCCAGTGCTCGTAAAAAAGACCCGGTCAACCCCCATCGAACGGCCAACGAAGGATACCATCGGGGGAGCCTTGTGAGAGCGAGTTGGCTAGCCTCTTTTATGTTTTAAATTATAAACCTCTTTTTATTCAAACAAGGAAAATGATTCAAATCACCTGACCGATAACGACGCGTGCTTTCGCCGGCTCCATGGCCGTCGGATACAATTTTAATCAGATCGTCCGGGAGCAACGTATAGAATAGACTTTGCAACTGACTCGTTGTTGCAATCCCCAACCGTAACGAGTGATGTGTTGCTGAATCTGGATCTGAATCCTCTCGTGAGTAGTTGCCTCCCGTGCTCTCTAGAGCTCCTCGTGAAGCCAAAACCTTCATGTGCTGCTCCGACGCCGCCACCGCTCTGCTCGCCGCTAGCAACACGCCGACAAGGTCGCCGGTCCGCTCGCGACCAGTGGCCATGGCCGCCTGAGCGCGCATATCGGAGCTTCGTTTCGGCCGTCGCCGTCCAACTATGATGCTCCGACCCCATGCTGCATCGCCTCCAACACCGCCATCTCCCCTTCCCCAACCAGGCCGAGCTCCTGCTCGAGGCCATGACCGCAAGCAATGCGATGCGGTGACTTTCCACGACAAGGCATTTGTTGCAAGCAAAAAAGATTTGCAACAATGGGTCAGTTGCAAAAAAAACTGTAACACAACCTTCGTTACAAATATTGTTGCAATGAGACCAGTGTTGCAGAAGGGTTCTCGCAACACGACTTATGTTCCAAACATGACGATGACACTTGACCGGATGATTGCATTAGATCGGACGACTCGTAGAACGGCTGATCTTTTGAAAAGATCCATCGGCGGACGTGTAGCACGGCCCAACAACACAAGGTTTAAAAGAGGCACCCTTTTTAGGTAGCAAACCAAAGATGCCATTATGAATGACTCTGTCGGTGTGGTGACGCCGATTCGTCTGCCACCAATGGTCCGATTTGATACCAACGGTTGAGATTGAGATTGAGAACATTCCCAGGGATGAAAGTGACATACATACTATATATTTTCAAGATTAAATACTATATGACCTCCTTTGGTCTGTAGGATATCTAGAAATTTGCGAGGAAGTCATGCAATGAAGATCAGAACCTAGCAGCTTCGTGTGCACCCCCAAGAGCAGACTGGAGCGTCACATCTATCGGGACAGAAGCCGAAGCAACAGACGAGTAAGGCCAAGAATCACGATGAAGAGTCTTCATGTTGGGTGGGGCCTCATGTATCTCAGATGCTGATGGGGGCCTTTTTTGAAACAGAGGCAAAAGATTTGCCTCACCTCATTAATAAAGCAGAAGATAGTTGCTCGGTTAATAAACGAAAAACCGTCACAAACCATTGAGCGGCACGCATAATACCACACACCTCACATAGAGGGTCTCGTCAACATCACACATCGGTGTCATCGTCATCACTTCTCCCCAACAGGCCTCATTGCCCTCCCTAGTCTCCGAGTAAGCAACTCTGACTTCTCCGAAGACAAATGTTGACGCAACCCACACCGTAGAGGCTGTGTGAAACACAAGAAACCCTGCGCCAAACTCAGTCACCTGCTCCAAGGACAACACAACTCCGACTCTGAAAGATAGTTCCGAAGGAGAACTATGCAAGGTTGGCGCCGCGGAAGACCACCGAACAGACCACCTGTTGCATGTCATCGTCGCCACAGGGGCCCTGCCACCGCAACTCCGACTTCACCGCAACAAAACAACCCGAGGTAGTCCCACGAACACGCCGGAGAAGAGCCGACTACCGCAACCAATGTCACGTCTCTGACATCGCACAAGCCCATCATCGTTGCCATAGAAGCCTCGACGCCAACACCATCAACTTCCATCGGTCCCACTTGATGATGCCTGGCTCCAAAGACGAAGCCCCCGAGAGGGGATACGATGCTAGAGCACCGTCATCGTCCGATCCCATGGATCTAGAGTTTCCCCCGAAGTTGCGAAGATTGGAACTGAGAGTACCTCGACAATGCCAACAAGAAGGAAACGGTGATTGAAAGTGTCGCCGTCTCTGACTCCGGACACGCCGGAGACAAGCTTTCGCCCGCGTCAGCTTCTCGAGCCCCACACATCATGCATCAGCAAGCCCTCCATCGAGCCACCGAGGTCAAATCTGGCCATCCCGAGTCGAAGCATCACCTCACGCCGCCGTGCGAGCTCGCGCGTGTCAGGTCCGAGCTTGCCCGCCCCTCCCGCACACGCGCGACGTGCGTCTGAGCACCGCGCCGCCCCGCCCCGCCACCTGCCCAGTCCCGCCATGCTTGCCCTACCACCTGCGCTGCCTCACTGCGCCACCCCGAACGCCAAGGCGCCTAAGCTCCTTCTAAGCGGCCGGTCCGCGCCGCGCCACTCCAAGCGGGAGTAGGAGAGGGCCTCGCTGCCGGCGAGCCGCACGGGCTTTGCCCCACGACGCCTGCCGCAGGCAGCAAGGGGAGAAGGGGTGGCTGGTTGTGGCACTGGCGGTGGCTAGGCTGCGCTCCTGGCCACTCGCGGGAGCGAACTAAAGAAGAATTGACCTGTTTCATGCGCCGTTCACAACCACAAGGCCTCGTCATAGACGAGATGGTCCCAACGAAACTCCTGTCAACAATGGCAATTCTTAAGATTGGTACCAACAAACTAGACAACCCACGGAACTTCCAAAACAGAAACATTGCACGAAAGGGAGGTCCATCCGGATCCAGGTGGCAAACCATCTTCCCCCGGAATGGCAGCAACACTCACCAGCAAAAGAACAGGAAGAGAGAAAACAGAACATATCACAAAGAGCAGCAACAAAACCTGACACATCTCCTTACAGGTAAAGCGTTGTTGCAACATCCAACCATTACAAGCTGCAGCTCCGCACAAAAGACACTAGAAAATGCGCATCATTTATCATACAACCAAAACCTTTCCACGGTTTCTCGCACACTCACCGCCACCAACTCAGAAGCCGCGCTCTGCTCGCTGCCCATTTGGCCTATTGTCAAACAGGAACCGCTCGCCATGCCTCCCCCTGTCCCTGTGATCCTGCCATCTGCCCCTCTGGTGGTGGCTCTCAGCCTGGTTCCTCTGCTTGCTGTTCCTCTGCTGGGAGTACCCGCCTCCACTGTTCCTTTTCCTGCCATATGTGCCGCCTGGATCCTGGTAGTATGTGTTATTGTTGCTGGATACTCCATGGGAGCTGCTCCAGTTATTCCCTGGGCAATGGTTGTTGCCTGAGCTGCCCCAACCGGGCTCCGCCAGGGCCTCGCCCCAGCCGGTGCTGATTTTGTTCCAGCTGCTCAGAGGCTCCTGACTCGCTCCCCAACCTGCGTTGGATGCCGAGTTGTCCGCCTCCCACTTGTTCACCTCAGGGGTCGGCTTTTCTAGATAGATGTCCCAGTTCCCTGACTGGTTCTGGGCACACCTGTTATTGGCAGCTACGGCGGGCTCGTTGTCCGCCTCAAAGGGTACCCGCACCTTGTCCAGGTCAGCTACCAACTCGGGGTCGACCTCGCAACGATGGTCGACCTCATCAATGTACAGATCAGGGTTGGGGTAAGGTATATCAGAAGGTTGGCCATGGTAATGAGACCAGAACCTTGATTTTGCGTTCTGGAAATTCTCAAAAGCTCCCGAGTCATCCCACTGCTCTATCTCCTTGTACATATAGGCAAAGTGCTTGTTCTCGCAGAACCTCTGCCACGAAATGCCACCAACAAGACTGCAAAATTCCCTTTCCCATAATGGGACTTGGCATTGATTATCCACGTGACTGTATCCTGTGTGTATCAAAACGATATTAGATTCATGGTGTGAGCACATTAACGCAGGGAAATAAAAGATTCCTGACCTACTGCATTATGGGAACAGAAATAAACAGGAGATGGAACATACTGAGGGCATTCTTTAGCCTGGACAGTATCCTGGGGGAGAAAAAAATGAATTGCTGAGAAGCAGTGCATTCCTGACTTAGACTCAAGTAGGATATGAAAGTACTTGTTGTTGCTTTATACGGGTGAAAGATAAGTCAAACCAAAGATACATCTTTCAACTACACAACTACAACTGTGGCAGAGTAGCAAGTTCAATACATAAAGTATGAATTCAAGTATTTGTTGAACACTCTGATCAAGCATAAGTGGGTTCTATAGTCTGTCATTCTAATTTACGCCAAGTATAGACAACTGTCAAGAGAAATGAACCAGCGCAAACCAGTACTCTGAATTTGTCGAGAATGGCGGCAATAAAGCGATCCTTTCAGAGATCACAGAAAAGGAACTGAATAATTCAAAACAAACTAAACAATGAGTCACTCAAAACACAATTTAAAGGGTTCCATCCTAAAACAACAACATTCCTTCTACGGGTCTGCTCCTATGTAGCCATATGACTACATCTTTAATGGCTATGTCATTTATATAGTAGTAAACTAGTGATAGTCATAATTAGTAGAGTGAGAAAAGAAGTGATCGTGCACCGGCAAAAAGATCATGGTTTTGAGGTCCTAGTGCCTGAAGAAAACATGCACAATGCAGTTACATAAGTAGTGGGTTCCTTGCATATCCTACCATTGCAAGGAGCAAGTTAAAATTTAATGGTCCCACATCTGACAAAGACGCTATACCTCTTTGTTTTCTTTTTTGTTATCGCATCGTCGGCCAGCTGACTACAGTTAGTGTTGGCTGACTACAAATAGTGTTAAACAAACATCGGTGCCCGAAACTATTTTGCCGGATAAGACACTCCGAATGCAAGTCGGATTCCAAGTTTTATTAGTTATGTCCTAAAAAAACCTTGCTGAATCGTACACCCAAATCTGAGTTGGATTCCAACACCTGTGTCCATGTCTGAGCAGGCAAGCAACTATTTTGCCAGATAAGACACTCCGAATGCAGGTCAGATTCCAAGTTTATTAGTTATGTCCTAAAAAAACCTTGCTGAATCGTACACCCAAATCTGAGTTGGATTCCAACACCCGCGTCCACGTCTGAGCAGGCGAGCAACACTGTCTACAATATGGTTTGCAAAAGACATTCCTTCTTCCATGCTCCTTGGAGGAGAAAGTTGAAGCCTGCCTTTAGCCGTTTAGCGTCAATACTCAATACCGTTAACTTCTTCATTTTCCGCACTGCTGTGAATACTGAATAATACTCCCTCTGTAAAGAAATATAAGATTGTTTAGATCATTAATATAGTGATCTAAACGATCTTATATTTCTTTACAGAGGGAGTACCATTTTGAGGGAAATGTTCTAAAGGGCGCCCGCCTAGGTGCTAGACACCATCCTCCTGCATTGCTTGCCTAGCATGACTAGTCAGTAGGCGCAACACACTGTCCAATTACTTGACCAGTGCTTTTTAGAGCACATTGAGGTCTTATAATTAACCTGTTTTTATAAAATTTGCGTGTATGAACATTATATCTTTGCCCCTTCCCTCTATATCCAAGCCATTTTCATCTGTGTTTGGGTGTGAAGCGGCCAAGCAACCAATACAAAATTGAGATATGAAAGATGGCATTTTAATTTTGCTTCACCATTTATTTTCTCCCCGTGGATTGGGGGGATGGCGGCGTTTTAAATTTTCTATATCAGCGGAAGACCATGCCAACTATAACAATTATCACTTACATGCACGCGTCTCCCAGAAAGACAGCATTTTGTCATATTGACACTACCTCGGTGAGACTCAAAACCTATTTTTCAGGGAGCAGGCTGCAGCTAAAACATTACTACCCAATTGTATTGTTGTAGATACATAATCTACACCTTGCAACTGCGATACCTTCCCAATGAGACTGGGAGGCTGTTCCCAATAGATGGGTTAGTCAAACAAAGCTAGCATTTTTCTGGCATTCCGGCACAAACTTTTCCAATGGTAAAAACCTAGAACAATTTAAACTAAATGTAAAGCCTAGCCTTACATAGATAATGGGATAATGCACCAGCAACTCTGGTTTAAAGCCTGAAACGGCCGGAGCACACTTCAGCATCCACATGAGTTGTGTGTGTCATTCGCAGGACGGCGCGAACTGAATCTATTTCAAGCACACTATAAGGATCACTACACTGTCTGAATCAAGAAGTAGATGTCTAGATCGGCGAGGTTCTGGCCCGATATAATAAAACCCTAATAGATTGCAACCTAATCTTAATCGGGCCGCACAAACAAAGATGAGAAACGGAGAGAGGGGGATAGCGAACAACCAGTTGCCGTTCGTACCGGAATACGGAGGCGGGGGGCGAGGGTTCGAAGAGGCGTCGTGGTGGCGCTTCGTCGGCCATCGCCGATTGCGACCCCCCATCGCCGGGAGGAGGGGCGCCTATCAGGACCGTGATTCGCCAAGGCTGTCCGCGGCAACAAGCCAGCCGGCCAGCCTAACGGCAGTCGGGAGTGGATTCCTCGTGACCTAGATAGCTCGCCGTGAGGCCAATCGCCGAGCCGTCTGATTGGGGAAGGGGGGGCGCCTGCCCGGGTGCGGGGGTTATAAAGACTGGCGTGGAGGCGGGAGGAGGGGAAGGGGAGGAGCGAGGCAGGGACCGACCGTAAATGGCAGGTGGGTGGAAGAGGAAGGAAATAGAAGCACCACCGAGCATGGAAATATGGGCCGGCTAGGGTACTTCAGAGTTCAGAGTAGAGAAGAGTGACCTTTTTTTTCTTAAGAGGGAGGAAGAGTGACATTTGTTCTGGCCTTCTTGCACGATTTGAGATCAGTGTGCATTGCTAGTTCTCCAAAATAAATTATTGTATAATGCAAAATTCTCGTATGTAAGCAAGATTTTAAAAAAGAGCATCATAACTCCCAACAAAACGTAGGTCCAAACCCTAGCCGTCGGAAGTTGTGGTTCTTGACACCAATCATTTGTGGTTTCTCCTTTCCCGCCGGCCTCGCTAGCGTCAAGTGGGATGGAGAATCTGATCTACCGGCTAGAGTTTGTAGGTTAGAGTAGTTTTCGAGTCGAATGATGTGGAAGTTGTATGCAGTATACCCATAGGCAAGTACAACCGTGATATGGAAGCTATATGCAGCATACCTACACGCAATTATAGTGATGGTAGTTGTGTGCGGAACCTAAAAAAAGTTTGGCAACTTCACGGTAAGATCGATTTATCAAGCACTAATGGCCAGAAGCTTGGACAACCGTCGGCCTTCATCGTGAGGAGACGGACAAGGTACAAAAGTGTTGCAAGAAGCTTTGCAAACTTACGGTTATGCCAAAGGTTAGGAATTTACGGTGGAGTGATACACAACTTTATTCCATGTTGTGTTGTGCTTTCGGATGGACACCTAGAAAGAATTGCCTACTGTGAAGTGTGTGGGTAGAGAAATGATGGCCCATGCTTTATTTGAGCGTACCCGCGTGAAGTTTTTTTTTGGGAATAGTAGAAGATCCTCACATCACCGAAAATCACTAACTTACATCTTGATTCATGAGCAATAGATGTGATGGAAGGCGTCGTCATCTCAACGAATGAGGCATGCATGATTTTATGTGGTATTGTTGGCATGCTTGGTAAGAATAGAACGTGTGTTGTTATGGAGAGAGTCATCGAACAGTGCAAGCATCGGTTAAATGGGAGATTGACGCCTACATGGACCTAACAGCTTTAGGCAAGGACCTTCGCCTGATGAGGATACAAACCTGGGGTAGGGTCATAGGCCTGACCTATACGCCCTATCCAAGATCACTACCCTAGAAGACAAGCAGTTCAAGAGGCAGCATGAGACCCCCAGTCGAAGATGTCGAGTGCAATCCACTCGACATCATGTCACTCGGGAGCCTTCCTACCTACTGTCACTCGACCATCCAGAGAATCACTCGACCTCCTGAAGACTAGGAGTCACTCAGCGTTACAAGGGGCAGGCGTTCACTCCGTAGCCTTTAAGGTCATTAACATCACTTAAGGCTGGCATTACCAGTAACGCCCCCGCTTTATATACATTAAGTCCCTTGTAATGGAGGGCGGAGAGGGTCCTGGCGAACTCTATATAAGCCATCCTCCTCCTCTGGCGCAAGGGTTCGCACCTCCCGTAACATCACACATATAATCCAATCGACCGCCTCCGGCATCGAGACGTAGGGCTGGTACTTCCTCCGAGAAGGGCCTGAACTCGTAAAACTTGTGTGTACACCTTCACCATAGCTGAGATCTTGCCTCTCCATAGCTACCCCCCCTTTCTACTGTCAGTCTTAGAACCACGACAGTGGGCGCCCACCGTGGGGCAGGTGTCTTAGCGACTTGTTGGTGAAGTTGCAAGTTTTTCCGATCATCGTCATCATGGTTTCCGGCGGCAGATTGGCTGAGGGCTGCGAGATCCGTCTCGGCGCGCTCGTTTTCATCGCCGACGACTTCGTGTGGCTTCAAGAAGCTCCCCTTGACATTGAGGCGCTCCCCGTCCGAGGGGCGACGCACTTTTGCGCATGCGTTCGCGATGTCCTTCTCCGGCAGCCGTCGATCCAGTATCAGTCGGCTCTGATGGTGTCTTCCCTCCCCGTTGTCCACCGCCGCAAGCGATCCGGTCGATCGCGGCTTCAGCGGTGGGTGAAACACGTGGTGGCTCGGTGTTCGGCCACCCATCAAGTCGCGGCAATCGAGCCCGACGAAACTCTCCACGGCCTATTCGATCTGTCGACTGGCTCCGCGGAGACCGCATCGGAGTGCGATAGCAGCGACCCTGCGGCTGAAGTCTTGATGGTCGATGGACCGCGTGGTCCGCCTAGCTTCCGTCGCGAAGACAGCGAAGATGGTGGCGACGATCCATCGCGCGTCCATGAAGAATACCACCCCGAACCCCTTTCTTCGCAGCAAAGGGAAGAACTTCGTCGCCGCAACATGGATGCACTCCACACGCCCATCATTGGAGAAACCCCTGAGGCTCGGGCCTTGGAGGAGGCGCGCCTCGCTAATTTGGCTAAGCACACTCGACTGGAGAACCTGCAGCGCGCTCTCGACGAGCAGGCTCGGGAGCGGGTCCCTGAGTCCAGTCGACGGCAGCTTTTCCCGCCTCCACCTAAGGTATACCGTACTCCAATTCAGAACCTCATAGCCGCATCCCGAATAGCAGAGTCGATCCAACCTTCCCAGTCGGAGGCCGGCAGAGGGTTGATGCAGATCCGGGCCTTGCTCCGGGCAACGGAAGAGCAGAACACAGCAGTGTCTCAGTCGCGGAATAGGATTCACAGTAGATCTGTAGTAGCGGATACAATTCAGTCGGCCCACAGCCCAAGATCACCCCTGCGGCGTGAAGGCCATGGATAGTATGATCGTCAGCTCGACCGTGACAATTGTCGTCGAGTGCCCACGCCTCCTTCGAGGAGTGCGTCATATGTGCCTCGGCAGAACGATGATGGACGTCGCCACAGTGGCGAGCGCAGAGCACCAGTCGACCCAAGGGAGCCAAGCTTCGATGCGAGATCCATTCTCGTTCAAGGCCTAGTCGACCGGAACAAAGCGCATAGAGAAGACCCAGGCAGAGATCGTCCAGGTGGCAGCAGAGTGCATGTTTCAGGTCCGAAGTGTTTCAATAGAGCCATCAGGGCGGCAATGATTCCTCCCAACTTCAGGTTGGCAACCGGAGTCAGTAAGTTCACTAGAGAATCCAAGCCAGAAACTTGGCTTGAGGATTACCGAGTGGCTGTGCAGATTGGAGGCGGAAACGATGAAGTAGCGATGAAACATCTTCCTCTGATGTTGGAAGGGTCGGCCCGAGCGTGGTTGACTCAGTTGGCTCCAGGCAGTATATACAGTTGGGAAGAGCTGGCTTGAGTGTTCGTCAGAACTTTTGAGGGCACTTGCAAGCGACCGGCAGGATTGATCGAGTTGCAGCATTGTGTGCAAAAGCCGAGTGAGACTTTGAGAGACTTCATTCAGAGGTGGACCACTTTGCATCACACCGTTGAAAATGCATCAGAGCATCAAGCAGTGTGCGCCTTCAAGGAAGGTGTCAAATACCGAGAGTTGGTCCTGAAGTTTGGTCGGACTAGAGATATGACTCTGACTCGGATGATGGAGATAGCCACTCGATACGCTAACGGAGAAGAAGAGGATCGACTCCGTAGCGGGAAGAGTAAGCCAGTCAGCCAAGAGGCCGGTGGAGGTAATTCCAATCGGAAACAGAAACGTAAGGCTGAGCCGGCAGCACCCGGTGAGATTGTAGCAGTGGCTCAAGAAAAGTTTAAGGGAAAACCTAAAGGCCATGGCCCCCTAAGAAGGTAAAGTATCAAGCAGGGAATGATGTGTTCGATTTTCCATGTCACATCCACACGAAGAAGGATGAAGAAGGTAATCTGATCTACCCTAAGCATACCACTCGACAATGTCGACTCCTGATCCAGCAGTTCCGAGAAAAACCGCCCAGTGAGAAGGAGAAGGAGTCAGACAAAGATGAGGATGAAGAGGAAGATGATGGTTATCCCAAAGTTAATTCCACCCTCATGATTTTTGCTGATGTTGAGAGCAAGAGTCGGTTGAAAGTTATCAACAGAGAAGTGAATATGGTCGCTCCGGCGACGATGACCACATACCTAAAATGATCTCAGACAGCCATCACATTTGACCAGTCTGACCATCTTGCTCGTGTAGCCACCCCCAGGAGGCAAGCACTGGTGGTCGACCCTGTGGTCGGAGGCACTCGACTAACTAAAGTGTTGATGGACGGTGGTAGCGGTTTGAATATCCTGTATGCTGAAACCTTGAAGGGGATGGGCATTCCGATGTCCAAACTTAGCGAGAGCAACATGAGTTTCCATGGTGTTATCCCCGAAAAGAAAGTCGAATCACTCGGCCAGATCACTCTCGACGTGGTTTTCGGTAACTCCAAGCATTACCGTAAGGAAAAGTTGACATTTGAAGTCGTAGATTTCCAGAGTGCTTATCATGCCATTCTGGGTAGGCCTGCCTACGCACGTTTTATGGCTCGACCATGTTACGTGTACCTCAAGTTGAAGATGCCTGGCCCCAAAGGTGTGATCACAGTTACTGGCAATCGGCAGAAAGCAGAGGAATGCTTCCAGAAAGGTTCCAAAATTGCCAATGTGCAGATGGCAGCAGTTGAACTTCAAGAGTATCAGAAGAATGCAGATCCGAGTGATTTGCTCCGAGCCAAGAAACCTGCCACGGATTCTGCATTTCAGTCGTCTGGTGAAACGAAGCCGATTCATATCCACCCGACCGATCCCAATGCCGTGCCGACTCATATATCAACGACACTCGATAGAAAATAGGAAGAAGCGCTCATCCAGTTCCTCCATGAGAACTGGGTCATCTTTGCATGGAAACCCTCTGACATGCCGGGTGTACCCA